CACATTCTTTTCTCAACCAGAGAATGTATACCAATAAAGTATTTTGATGATTTCGACAATTTTTTCTCAGCAGCAGAAATTGAACATTTCAATTTACGTCGATACATCAAAGATGGTGATTTTGTTTCATTAGCGATCAAACAAATCCCAGTGCATGGATTGATTACCAATAAACCTTCTAAAATAACAACATCAAATACAACTTTATTCCATTCGATTGCGAACAAACCTACACCAACAGTTCTTTCATTGATGAAAAATTCACTTGGTCTTACTGTTTATCTGGATTGTGATGAACATGAAAAACAAACTTTGTGGAAATCTGCTCTCGTCCAAACAACATTAAATCAAACGGCTAATAATGAACTACGTATTGCATGGAATGCAATATATCATACTTTAGATAAAGCATTCAATCTGGAAAAACAGAAAACCCTTATCTGTTCTGCTATGCAAACCTACAATAAGACAGCTGCACTTGTTAAACTAACCAAATCACTTTACAACACCTCGACACAACTTTTGTATCATTATAAATGTAAAAATATTCCAAAAAATATACCTTTCAAGTGTGTCTACGATACATCACCAGAAATGATTGAGTCTATGAAACGATACACATCTATCACTTTTAATCCGGAACAAAAAATTCCTAATGTATGGAACTTGAAGCTTTGGTGCTCCTTTGGAAACCCTAATGGCTTCTGTGGTTTGGATGGTTTAGTTATGGATTCTAGTACCGCACAATGCTTGGAAAATAAAATTGTTTACCAGGCATGTTTTACAGTTGACTTCATTTTCGAGAATATCCGTAAAGCTCAATCAGTTGAGGTGAAATTAGTACAAAACTCTCAATTAACTCGTAGTAATCTAGTCTGTATTATTCTTTCTGAATACGAAGCATGTACCAAAAATTCTAACCATTGTGAGATTAAGTTGGGAAAATATGGTAACATTTTCCAGTATGAAATTTATTTTTTACCAAAGAAAATGTACCATGATCTTGAAATAGACTACGTTAAGCAAGGGAAAACACTTGTTTTAACAATAAAAGGCACCCGAAAGACTGGAGTTGGTATTGGAACAAAATTTGGAAATGCTTTTGGTCAGAAAAATATTGTATCTCACTTGATAGATATCAAAAACCCAAAATATAATGCCATTTGTTTCACTAACAGTGGCACTCCAGTTTTCCCTCAATTAATCTATTCTGATGTATCTGTACTTGGAAGGCAAGCTACAGGACAATTGAAATCAATGTTTTGTGACGAACAGTTAGCTTTGAACCCAAAAACAGGATTTTTCACTGCTCTCATAGATGTTTGCATTCATAATTTACACACTTTCACCAACGAGAGGGTTTTCTCAATAAAACTAGACACTTTGACTGGATTAAATGGTTTCTCTGCAAATGGTTTACACAACGCTTCTCATACCATGAGAATAGGCCGAGAAGTTTTTCCAAAAGTTAAACAAGTAATTGGTTTTCATGGTTTCAATCTTTCTCTGTTATAATGAATACAATAAAAGTTGAACTGATTCATAAATATTTATTTCATCTGCTGGTAAACGTTTTATCGCTCGATAAAAAAACCTTATTTGCTTAGCGTAGAATATATGCCAAGTCATGAGCACAGACCCGGTTAACAGTATTAATACGATAAAAATTGTAAGTAAAAGTTTAACAAAATAGTACATACCAGCAAAAATTTTTTTGTCCTTTTAGTGAAATTTTTATGCTCTACTATTTTTGACTATACATTGTTACTTATATTGAAATTTTCTCTCTCTCTCGGTCTATTCGTTTAGCTATGTCTATCCAAGAAACTTACAATGAATTAAAAGAATTGGGTATTATAATTGGAGACTCTGATGGTTGGTTAAAATTAGACTTGAAAAAACTCCATCTTCTTGGTTTCGTGTTGATTTATGATTCTGAAGACATAACTATGGAATATAATGCAAGCAAAATAAAATTCTGTCAATTATCATCTCTCAAATATCTTACAAATTTGACGATATGTTTGTCCGATCAAGTACCGCACAAGACTTTAGAGTCATATGTTTTCCTGCAAACAAATAATGCTTCTTTTTTTTCATCTAAATAATCTTGTATTTAAGTATTGCAAACGTGAATAAAATAAGCAGAATATAGATTAACAAATAAAGTAATAAATATATTTTCGATTTGCCTTTATTTAAAAATGTTATGAATGTTAGTATTGTTGTTGCAATTATAACCATTATTGGATAGACAACACGTTCATTGTTTATTGAATGCAATAAAGTTTTCAACTTTGTCGCTAAGTCAATGGTATCATTTGTCATCCGGACGTTTGTTGACGAGTTTTCAGAAGCGTAATTATTAAGAAAATTTATTGCTTCAATGTAAACAGAGTTGGGTTCATTGATAATATCCTGAGTTGTACTGGTATTACCTTCCATGATAATGTATCGTTATTATTTTTCTACAATAGTTTATGTTCTATTATATATTTTAATGGTCTTGTTAACCTATCTCAACCAATGTTATTATAAGTTTTCAGATAATAACTATTTCAAGTTTGATTCTATCCCGTTTTCTGAGCCAGAGGATGAAATAGCCGATAACTACCAAACTGTTAATACCCATGATAATTTAACTATCGAAAATCAGTTTAATTGTACTATCGATGACTTGCGGCCTTGCCATCTGAACGATTCGAGCACACTGTTTGGTTGTAAGCAACTAAATGTAACATGTCATCATTTCGATAAAGATACAAGTTATTACAAAGATAAAACTCAATTTAAAATACCAGCTAATGTTCATCCAAACGAAGGTTATGCTTTGCCATTGTTAAACAGTGAAACTCAATGCAACCCTTACCATGGTAATTTAGTTCTTGTATCCACGTCAAGTCATGATTCTTACATGTTCATTTGTGAATGTAAACGTCCTGGATTCATCGGAAATGAGACTATTCTGGGCAACTGTTCAACGCCTTTCATTTGTAATGGCAAAGTTAAAAATATTAACGTCCCGTTTTCTCAAATAGAGTGCGATTGTTCTAAAACAGAGAAATCTGTACATTTAACTTATCTTGACAATGATGAGAGCCCACCTATTTGTAAACCATTGACAATCAGTGAAGCAAATTCACAGTTTAAAAATTGGAATCATTTAATCAATTTTGACAGTAATTCTAAAACTTTGCCTATTCAGATGTTCAACGAAACTATAAAATCTGGTCTCAATGTTAGTAAACTTTTAGATCCATGTAAACATTCTCTTAGAAATACACAGAGTATCAATGAAAGTTCATATTATGAGAACGGTACTTGTAAAATATCCGATTACGGTATACCACTTGTTAGAACGATTGAAAACCATAAAAATTCAATACTACAACAATACTCAAACCAGCATCAAACCATTATTGATGGTATTCATGCTACCTTAGAACCGCATCAACTTGTTCGAATTATGCCAATTATTGAGCAAAACTCAACTTTGGGTACTCTCGCCATTGTTTTGAATGATATCGACTTAATCAAATCTAATGGTAAACCAATTACTCTTTCGCTAACAGAAGGGATAACCTATGGATCCAATTCTCAATTCTATTTGAACACTTCTAACTCTTTGATTGCTGGTAAATGTGAGCATGTTATTTATGGGTCACCTGAATTTACAATCCCATTTCATTGTTTTCTTGCTGAATCTTTTGCTGGTAAAGTGAACGGTGTTCCACAGGGTAGCTTTGAAGAGCCACCTTGGTATACATGGACAAGTAAATTGAGAAGTCAATGGAGACAATCGTATGGTTTACTCTCGGCTGGCTACTGTATGAAAATAACACCAAACAAGATTACTTATGATCCCGAGTGTTATCGTCAAACTAGCCATATGAAGTTCTATTCATTACAACTTTGTTCAGCAAAAAATAAACAATTACCTGGTTGCAGGAATGGTTTTATCAGCTTTGATAATAAATCAGATTTTGATATTCACGCCTCAAAATATCTCAAATAATTTCTATTAGAATTTGTTGTCTGTATTTACCTGCTAAACTTGCTCTGAAATTAACAAAAATGCTTGATATTATTAAAATTATATAAACTATTATTGCAATATAAAATAGTTGGTTAAGGGTTAAACTGATATTAATATGGTTAACTTGAATGTTAGCAAAATGTACCGCCGTCTCCATATCACGTAGTGGTAATACCAAGTTTAAACTATTTTTCTCTATGTAAACTTGCGATTTCTGAGAGAAATTTTTTATTTTTTTAATAACGCTTTGTTTATTCAGTACATCATTGATAAATATAAAACGCATAAAATCATACCAGAACAACATTGTATCAGTTTGTGATTTCAAGGTATAAAATATTTGTGCATCTCCATCATCATCTTCAGATAAAGAAGTCAACGACCAGTTTAAATCAGGACGTATGCGGTTGAATTGTTCTGTGCTTAATATCATAGTATGAGTATAAGATTAGGGTGCAATACAATTAATCAAGTCTTTCCACAATATCCAACTGTGATAATGTCAAACTATGAAAAACTGGAGAAAAATTTGTTTCTTGAATGTGATCAACAAAAACAAGTAAAATCTAACAGAAAGCGTAAAAACGAGTCATCTGCTGTTTGTAACATTTCAACACAGAATGTGAAAAAATCCAAAGGCAAACCTACTTTTACAAAAAAAGATTGTGAGGACCTGCTAGCCAAAATTGGAAAAAATATTTTCAATAACAATGATCTGGAACTTTTAGAGTTTTCTGAGGCTTGTTTGGTGTACATGTTAACCCAAAATGCCGATTTACTCTCATTGGATTGGGTTGATCTTGAACAAAATTTTATGTTGAAAAATACATGGAGTGATAAAATTGTCTATATTCTTGCAAATTACGCATCATCTGTTAAACGTCTCGATGAAATTTTGAAAGAAAATCGACAAAGAAAAGACGAAAATAAATGGTTTGACTCTACCGATGAGACGAAAGAAAGAAAGAGCAAGGTTTTCATTTCACAGACTATTTTGCCTATTGATTTACTAGACAAGATATTGAAAACATTGAAAATATCAAAAAAGCAATCTCTATTAGCCAGTTGTAAAACCAAAACTTGCTAATCATACGATTGCATTGATAATAAATTTTTCATTTCAGCATAATGCTTATCCGTTAGCTTATCAAATTCTTTCCCCATATTATTGTAATACTCATTAATGTAACCTTTTGTCGTTTTTATATTTTTATGACCTAACCATTCTTTGATAATGTGTATGTTTTTACATTTTGATGCAAGTTTTCGAGCAATCTGATTACGAAAAATATGTATTCCAAATCCTTTTGGTGGGAAAAAATTGTTTGCCTTGTAAAATTCAATATGCATTCGATAAACAAGAGTACTTGGTCCGGATACATCGAACAACTGAGAGTTGATACCATGCTTCAGATAACCATTATACTTATCTTCATACAAGACAAGTAAAGATTTTATAAATTTATTAAAGTTTTCATAATAAACAGGCTTCCAATGATTTGGAGTTAAAACAGAAGGTACCGATGTCGTTTTGTTTCTTGTATCTTTTCTTACAATGTCTACAATTTTTCTTCGCTCAGAAAGCTGGTTCAATATTTTGGTATCTATTTGTAAAATCTCGTTACTTCGTAGACCTGTGTAAAAAGCGGTCAACAATGGAGCAGTGTACATACTCCAGTTTGCTTGCAGATGGGAAACAAATTTACTGAAAACATCATCACTAATCAGCCTTTGATGAACATGTTTATCGAAATACAATGCATCAGGTATAATAGAGATATTTTCACCAAATACTCCTATACGTTTAGCTTCGTTAAAATATTTTCTTGTTGTTGCGAGTGAATAACCACGGTACTTACAAAAACCAATAAATGTAACCGCTCGTTTTGTCAGGTTGCTTTCTTCCAACAAATTAAGGCGTCTGAATATATCTTTAATCATTCGACTAGCTTGATCCCATGTTAAAGATTTTACAATATATTTAGGTTTGCACGCAGAATTTCTATCACCCCTGACACTTAGGTTAGCAATTATCGTCGTCGATAGTTTAGACTTACTGCTTGCTAGTAATTTGTTAACTTTTTCTTCGTTTACAGTCAACATGCTGTGGATCTTTACATTTGTCAGCTTTTTTTTACTCGTCTTTGCAATGATGTTTGCACAAGATAGTTACATTAACACTATTATAAAAACCTATGCAAAATTTAACAAATACTCATGGGTGACAAGGTTTGCGATCGGTTCGAAATACCTACAATAATCTACTTGTATATAAACTCGAAAACTCAAACTGAAATTTATCATTAATCAAATATGTTTGCCTTTATTGTTATCGTTTTCTGTTCTCACTTATTGCTTGCTTCAGCAAACATCAAACCAAACGGTACTCATATTAACCACTGGGGATTCATCAAGCTTCTAAGTAGACCAATCGACCATTACGAGTTTAATGTTGGAGATAACTTAACTTTGGAATTTTTTTTCGTCGGTAGTCCACCACCAAACGTTCACTGGTTTACGAACATGACATCCATCTTAAATCATGACAGTGAGGATCAAGATTCAGTCGCTATGCGTGGCTATTCACCATACATTAAAAATATAGCCGCAATCAAATCAAAATTCCATATACCAATCGCAACTATACATAATGCTGGTCAATACTCTTTCATGGTTACAAATGGCATGGATAATTATCTTAACAAAACTTTTCATGTTACAGCATCTCCTCGAAATTTTACCGATCCATCTCGTAAAATAGCTGCTAATCAACAAAAAACTAATAATACTATACCATACATTCGTACATGGACTCATACTATCTTAGCAAAAATTGGATACCCTGCTATTTTAACCTGTCGCACAAACCAAGCTCCTGGTGAATCGATTGAATGGACTGATTCTGGTGGTTTAGATCTTGAATACTTCTACAACTTCAAAATGTTACCATCTGGGGATTTACTCATACGAAAAGTTTTTGAGGGATATCTTGGTAGTTATAAATGCAATGTACAAAATCAATACGGGCGTGATACTGTGGAAATATTTCTGCACCCTTCTTATTGAGTTTAACAGCGAAAAATAAATATTGAATAATAAAAATTTAGCACCTTAAAAATTTCATATTATTGCACATTTATTATCTCGCTTGCAAGAAGCTCTCAAATGCTCACAGTATAGTTCTAGCTCTATTCAGTAGTTCATAGCTGTTTATATGTTTTCATTCAACTATATGGCCTTTCTTGCAACAATTGGCTTTATTTACTATCAATGAGTAACCATTGGCACAAAATAAATATCTCTTTCCAGACAAATGGTTTTATTTTAATATCATTGATAAACGATTGGTCCAAAATAAAAGTCTTTCATCCGATAATTGGCTTCATTTTTTATCAATGATCGACCATTGGTTCAAAATGAATATCTTTGCCCACACCATTAGCTTTATTTTTTATCATTATTAAACTATTAGTTGAAAATAAATATCTCTTCTCACACTATTGGCTTTCTTTGTCATCAATGGGTAACCATTAGGCCAGAATGAATATTTTTCTTCAAACCATTGGCTTTATTTTTATTAATGACCAACCATTGGTTCAAAATTCATTAGTCTGCTTACACTTTTGGTCTAAAAACAAAGTCTTTCATCCAACAGTTGGCTTTATTTTTTATCGATGATCGACCATTGGCTGAAAATGAATATCTCTCTACAAACAATTGGCTTTATTTTTTATCATTATTAAACTATTTGTTGAAAATAAATATCTCTTTTGACCCTATCGGCTTTCTCTTTAATCAATGAGTAACCATTAGGTCAAAATAAATATCTCTTTTTACATTATTGGCTTTATTTTTTATCTTTTGCAAACTATCAGTTGAAAATAAATATCTCTTTCGACACTATTGGCTTTCTCTTTCATCAATATGTGCTTTATTTTCATAATTCACCAACTATTGATTCAAAATGAATATCTCTCTCCAAACAGTTGGTTTTATTTTTTATCATTGATAAACGATTGGTCCAAAATAAAAGTCTTTCTTCCAACAATTGGCTTCATTTTCATCAATGAGTAACCATTGACTCAAAATGAATATCTTTGCCTACACCATTGGCTTTATTTTCCATCATTAGCAAACTATTGGTTGAAAATAAATATCGTTTTTCACATCATTGGCTCTGTTTCTTTATAAGTTACCGACTAGCGGTTTAAAATGAATATCTCTCTTCGAACAATTGGGTTTATTTTTAGCAATGATCAACCATTGGCTCAAGATGATAATCTCTTCCCACGCCATTAGCTTTATTTTTTATCATTTTTAAACTATTAGTTGCAAATAAATATCTCTCTACAAACAATTTGCTTTATTTTTATCAATGAACAACCATTGGCACAAAATAAATATCTCTCTCCAAACAATTGGTTTTATTTTTTATCATTGATGAACGATTGGTCCAAAATAAAAGTCTTTCTTCCAACAATGAGCTTCATTTTTTATCAATGAGTAACCATTGGCTCAAAACGAATATCTCTGCCCACACCATTGGCTTTATTTTCCATTATATTTTCAGACTTCTCGGGCGGTGAACTTCAAATAAATAAATTCTGATTCACCATAGTTTAACATGATCAACAAGTTTTCTCTTATTTATTTTTTATATTTTAATGTTTACAACCGCTTTAATGCACTTGTATATTTTCATATTCTATATTTTTGTATATATAAGATTTCTTTGTTCCCTCATTTCAGCGTCGAGTTTTGGCCGCAGAAGTTTTCTTCGCGAATTCATTCCATTTTTGTATTCGTTGATATCCATCAGTTTGAAATTCCAAAGCTCAGGATTAGATGCACGTTGCATGTACTTCGTAACACGATCAGGGTGTGAAAGTTTATCCTCATGAGACATATCATATTGATTGATTCGCAGCGTAACTGGATTGTATCCTACAGCACAAATTTTAAGATCAAAATCACTGATCACTTTATTCATGTAAGACTCGGTATCATCAGTTTTTCCTAGTGTTGTTAAATGTAACTGAAATTTTCCCGAGCCGTAAGATCTTTTGATGTAGTATAAATCCAATGCGTAATCCAGCTGCCAAGATTCTTCTAACCCCAAAGACGCCAAATGTTCGTTTATCACTTTGAAGAGATTCAATGGCACATCTAGAAATATATCAATATCACCAAACGTTTTAGTTCTCTTTGAAATATATGCCATGAAGCCGCCACCGATGAACCATGAATGTTCGATTTTTTTCTCTGCGAGAAATGTGAACACCGAGTCAATTCGTTCACACGAATCATCGGTTAGCTCTTCTACCGAGCCACTTACACTTGTCAATAAAGTTTTAGCTATAACAGAAGGCTGAACCATATTTTGAAACTTGTTGAGTTGTTCTGGAATATCCAGAATAACTTTGTGGGAACTTATATACTATTAACTAGAGATTATTTTTAGTATCGCACGCCAATCAATTTCATTCAAAAAATCACATTATTATTTATCTAACAGCAGTAAATTCATAAACAAAAACTTGTGATGAGATATGAAATGAAATATTCGTGAGAAGTGAATTTTGTTGAATTAATAAGCGTTAATCTATAACTTGATTGTTGTTTGGTTAGGCCAAGCTATGTTATTCACAATTCTGCAACTATGAGTGTAAAAAAGGCAAAACGTTGAAACATTTTCCGATTGAGTTTTCAACTACATTGCATCTTGGTTCTATTCTCACAATTGCATAGCAATCTTTCTGAAGTATGTATGTATTATATAGTAGATGTAGTATAAATTCAAACCGTAAAATCCGAAAGTTTCTTCTAACCGTAAAACATAAAATGTTCGTTTATCAGTTTGTAGAACTTCAGTAGCACATCTAGAAATACAGGGCGTTTTTTATCCACTACGGCTATTACGAAAAAACGCCCTGTATATCAATATCATTAAAAGATTTAGTTCTCTTTGCAATATATGCCATGAAGCCACCGATGAACCATAAATAATCAATTTTTTTCTGCGAGAAATGTGAACACCGAGTCAATTATCTTTCGTATATAAATATAAATATATATAAATATCTCTTTTCATTATTGGCTTTATTTTTTATAATTCATCAACTGTTGGTTCAAAATGAATACCTTTCTTCAGACAATTGGCTTTATTTTTATCAATGACCAACCATTGGCTCAAAATAAATATCTCTCTCCAAACAATTGGTTTTAACTTTTTACCATTGATAAACGATACGTTCAAAATTCATGAGTCTGCTTACACTATTGGTCCAAAAACGAAGTCTTTCATCCAACAGTTGGCTTTATTTTTTATCAATGATCGACCATTGGCTCAAAATGAATATCTCTGCTCACACCATTAGCTTTATTTTTTATAATTTATTAGCTTTTGGTTCAAAATGAATACCTTTCTTCAAACAATTGGCTTTATTTTTATCAATGATCGATCATTCATATAGATAGATCATTCAGATGGTTGTCTTTTCTTTTAACTATTGGATTGCCGTTCGCTATTCTCTCTAGTAAATTCCTGAAAAGGATTTGGCATGGTTCATTGTTTTCTGTTTCATTCATTTTTCTTTGATAACTTTTATTTGTCCTTGCTTCGTATTCATATGTTTTCCATAAATTCTATTGAATTCAGTTCCCTTTTCGTTTTTTATACAAGTCTCTTCTCTCATTAGTTAATAGATTGTCTTTTCCTTCAACCATTGGCTTACCGTTCAATCTTCTCTCTAGTTAATTCCTGAAAAGGATGCAACATGGTTTAATGTTTTAGGTTTTATTCCTTTTTCTTTGATAACTTTCATTCGTCCTTGCTTCGTATTAATATGTTTTCCATAAATTCTATTGAATTCAGTTCCCTTTTCGCTTTTTTACTTGTTTCAACAAGTCTCTTTTCTCATTGGTTAGTTAGTTGTCTTTTCTTTTAACTATTGGCTTACTGTTCGAAATTCTCTCTAGTAAATTCCTGAAAAAGATGAGGCATGGTTTATTGTTTTCTGTTTCATTCATTTTTCTTTGATAACTTTTATTCGTCCTTGCTTCGTATTAATATGTTTTCCATAAACTCTATTGAATTCAGTTCCCTTTTCGCTTTTTTACTTGTTTCAACAAGTCTCTTTTCTCATTGGTTAGTTAGTTGTCTTTTCTTTTAACTATTGGCTTACTGTTCGAAATTCTCTCTAGTAAATTCCTGAAAAGGATGAGGCATGGTTCATTGTTTTCTGTTTCATTCATTTTTCTTTGATAACTTTCATTCGTCCTTGCTTCGTATTAATATGTTTTCCATAAATTCTATTGAATTCAGTTCCCTTTTCGTTTTTTATACAAGTCTCTTCTCTCATTCGTTAATAGATTGTCTTTTCCTTTAACCATTGGCTTACCGTTCAATCTTCTCTCTAGTTAATTCACGAAAACGATGCGGCATGGTTTATAATTTTCTGTTACATTCCTTTTTCTTCGATAAACTTCATTCAGCCTTGCTTCGTATCAATATGTTTCCATAGATTCAATTGAATACAGTTTTCTTTACGCTTTTCTACTTGTTTTAACTTATCTCTTTTCTTATTGGTTATTACATGGCTCTTTTCCTTTAACCATTGGCTTACTGTTCGCTCTTCTTTCTAGTAAATTCCGGCAAAGGATGCGGCATGGTTCATTGTTTTCTGTTTCATTCATTTTTCTTTGCTAACTTTCATTCGTCCTTGCTTCGTATTAATATGTTTTCCATAAATTCTATTGAATTCAGTTCCCTTTTCATTTTTTATACTTGTTTCAACAACTCTCTTTTCTCATTGGTTAATTAGTTGTCTTTTTTTTAACTATTGGCTTACTGTTCGCTCTTCTCTCTAGTAAATTCACGAAAATGATGCGGCATGGTTTATAATTTTCTGTTTCATTCATTTTTCTTCGATAACCTTCATTCATCCTTGCTTCTCATTAATTTGTTTACTATAAATTCTATCGAATACAGTTTTCTTAACGCTTTTCTACTTGTTTTAACTTATTTCTTTTCTTATTGGTTATTACATGGCTCTTTTCCTTTAACC